GCGCGGAACAGTTTCAGGGAATACATCCTTGAATTCAACCAAATCTTCATAGAGAGGATTTTTCTTGAGCGATTCCCATGATTGGGAGTCATATCGCTCAATTCGTGTCTTTTCATCTAGGACACTCTCGTCCATAGATGAACTACTGAGAACTCTCTCGTTCTCAGTGAACACTGTTGCTGACCTTATGTCGGTTACACACTCGTCCTCAGCGACGAGTACGCAGATCTGCTTGACTTTGCCACTACGCAGATCACGCAAGAACCTTTTATGTTCGAGCGTTGGCAACTGAGTGATCTCCGAAGTTAACTTCGGAGGCGCAATCAGATTAAGTGTATAAGCGCCTACACTTGATCCGTTATTGACTATGACCTTCAATGTCTCTGTCATTTCCTGGGGACTTATTCCCTCAGGCTTCGAAGGACTTATTCCTTCGTCTTCCCGGGGACTTATTCCCGCGGGTTTCGGGGAACTTATTTCCGCCGTATTTGTAATCTTGGGACTTATTCCCTTTACTTCCTCTAGCTGGGGTTGCGCAACCACAGCGAGATCCTCTACGAAAGACTCTCCAGTCGATCTAGGATTATCGTTTCGCTTAACCTGAGCGATCGATTGTTTCTCTTCTAGATGTTCCCCGCTAGGGATACATCTTTGTCCCAGTCCACTCGACTTATTCGAGTGGTGGACCTTCGGCGCAGCCTGTGTTTCCTCACAGCCGCCGGAACTTGGCTCCGAAGTGTAACCGTTTGTTACACTAAGGTTTTGTGCAGTCGTACTAACGACCGTACCACAAGTGAGGCCATCGCACTCACTCGTAGTACATCCACACGCTTGTGGACGCTCCAAAACGTTCATCAGATGGCCATCTGATGAACAAGCGGCAGGCATCGTTACTGTTCGATGTTGCCAGTTTACCCGTGGTTCGTACCTTCTGAGCCACGGTATTCCAAGGATGACATCAAATTTGTCATCCAAATCCAATACGATAAAGTCATCGTCGTATTGGGTATCTTCTAGCGTATAGTGAATCTTCACTATACGCTTCATGAAGGTTACGGATGCGCCTGTCGCAAGACGTACCGTCATCCTCGTAGGAGGTGTGTCACATTCACTGTAATTGAAATGACAATCTTCTAGCGATTGGCGTCGCACAAAATTGTTGGACGCCCCACAATCGACTAGAGCTCGAAGGGACAACTTATTCGTCACTTCGAGTTTCAAGGTAATGAGTGAGACCTCATTACCTAGAGCAGCAACGCACAACGTTTGTGTGTTGGGAGCAACCTTCATCAAGAGGCCTACAAATTCTCTTGACGTTGCTGGATCAGTAGGGTGCTCCGCACCTACTGATCCTGTCCGTTTTTTGACGGTCCATCCCGTTGTTGCGTCTTTGCACCAACTGCGGACCCTCGTCCCTGCCCCTTTCTCATGGGTGGACGGTCACTACGCCCAGTGTCGCGAGACACTGGACGAGGGGCACTACACTCGTAAGCGTAGTGTCCTGTCTTTTGACATCTGTTGCATCTCTGCAACTTCTTGTAGCCTGTAGAGCGAGCCTTCTCGCTCTCTACATAACAGAGTTCCATCGGCTCTGGACCTCCGTTGTCATATCGTCTCGGTTGACGATATGATGTCGAGCTGGCGCGAGCCTGTCTCAGACTGAAGTCTTCCTGCTCCGCAATGGAAATGGCTTGTTCTAGTGAATCTAGTTCAAGCCGGAACAGGTGAGTCTTGACGGGACCATCCGCAAGACCCTGCATGAACACCGAAACCAACGTGTGTTCATCCACCGGATTGGAACTTATACAACTCGTAAGATGTCGTATATGTTGGGCGTAAGCGTGCACATCACGCTTACCCTGTTTGAGCTTCAAGAGTTCGGTTCGAGCTCTGAACTCAGCTCTAGGCGGTTCAAACGTTTGTCTGAGCCGCGACTTGAAGACTTCCAACGACCCAAACGCATATGGGTCGTGCAACTTGAGCCCCAGTGCCCAAGTCTTGGCACGTCCTGCCAGATTTGACTGGGCAAATGCAACTTGCATATCCCCGTCGTCGATACGACGCGCCCTGATGGCGTCATCCAATTCGACGAACCATCTCAAGAGGGAGTCTTCTTCGACCCCCCTATACTTTGAGATGTCAATCTTCAAAGTCTCGGGTCGACGCGAGTGCATCGACCCGCCAGCAGCAGCCTGCTGCTGTCTCAACAGTTCAAACTGTTGAGCACCTTGTTCTCTCAACAACTCTGCTTGTTGAGAATCTTGTTGGTGAAGCAAGGCTACTTTCTCGCGTTCAGCGTCAAGTTCATTTTGAATGAACTTGGCGATAGTAGCATGTTGGGCATCTCTATTGAGAGCCTCTAGCATGACGCTAACAGCATGGATGCCCATGGTCGAACCCATTCGTTCAACCGCATCCCATTCGACATCTCTCAAATGGGAGTAGCCGTCACGCGTAGCGTGAAAGCTTTGGTCATCTTCATCATCCAACATATTCATGTTGGATGTGAACGCGGTCCTTGGACGGACTACGAAGTGCTACCAGGTGTAACGGGGCACCCTGAAGCTTGTACTGGTGACAGTACAAGCTACTTATTCTGATGACAGAATAAGGCGGTGCCTCGTAACTTCACGTACACTCGTACGTGCAGAGGAAGACGGTAAGAAGAAGCGAGTACTTGGTTAAAGTAAAAAGTAGAACTGTATTTATAATAGTTAATGTCTGCAATAAATCACTATTTATCTTCATCTAACTATGTCTAAATACAAATGTGTAAATCAGTTATCTGCTCACCACTCATTGCGTGCGTCTGTCGTGGCGCGTCTTCGTTGGTTGATATAATGGCCTATATCAACCAATTAGGAACTACTCGTAAGTGCTACAGAATATTTGTCCTTATGACAATATTCTGAGAATATAACTCTTATAGTTATATTCTATTAACAATTTCTTATAAATTGTTATGTAACGATTCACCCCGTTACATTTTACGTCCGTAGATGCTCTCAGTCGCTCATCATACTACAGAGATAGACTCCTTCACAACAGCAAGCAATCCCCATCACGATTTCATGATAAGGTTTCTGCTCTTGTGGGTATTTCGACTACAACTTTCATTTTTTTCACTTTACGCGTATACGGATCGTTCATATTGCGTACACGCGACACGCGTTGTAATTATGTGTCCCGTTCGTTACGTAATAACTTACTTTTTTCTGTGCGTTTCCGGATCTGTTGATGTACAATGCAGGTCCACATACGAGCATGCAGGAGGAATTTAAGATAGTCGTGCACAGGGAGCTTTAGACAAGCGCGCGTGCGGACGCCCCGCAACAAGTAAGATACTACTTTACGATACTCCCGTTGTTGGTGCTGCCGATGAAGCCGGGAAAATTGCGTGCTTGTGTAAGTAAGCGTCCATTTCAGTAATGCACGAGGGATGGTGGCTGCAAAGTTGATAGACTCGTACTGAGGAATGCAGTCGAAGCTATTCTTGATCGATAAATTGGCTCTGTTAAGTTCTGTTGGTGTTGGTGCTGGTTCGATTACACTTCCACATTGTTGTGCGTAATGCAGTTCTTGCATCAGGATGGGTCACAATCTCCACAAATTCTTCGAGTTTTCACGCATCTGCGATGCTGATCGTTGCTTGCTTTGGTTTGATATGATGGCATTACACTCACTACTTACTTCCTCGCTTCTTTTGATTTAAGGACATCACTAACTTGGCTGGAAGGCTGTCAACAATGACGTCCACCATACGACATTTTTGCGCAAAAAAGGTTCAATTGCATATGATCACGACAAAATGAATTCTAACATGCAACAGATGTGATATTGCTACCCCTGTTCTCGACGCATAATTAGCCAATCATGTAGCGTTATATTAAAGTGAGGAGATTTTACTAGAAAACTGAGGGATGATCAACGGTTCCCTTCCATGTTACCTTCTTCTTAGCGTTCCCACCTCAAATCGTCCTTGGCTGTTGGCAACAAGTCAAAACTATGGAATCGGCACTCGTTCAGACGGATTCACGCAAATTTCTGACCAGGCAACTATCGCATTCTCTGGACCGTATAAATTGCAACGCAAAAGCACCAGTGGATTGTCTCAATAAGGCGATCAAGTAGGACTTAGCATGAGGTTCTGTGCCACTTGTGACGACTGGTAGTGGAGGTTCAGCGGTTGTTGACAAATCCGAGCAATTTCGTGAGCGAGCCACTGAGTTGCCGAAAGCCAAGACAACGACTACGTTCCAACAATATCTGCACGCAACGAGAGAGTGTGGTACTTTTCTCAAGCTTGAAGTTTTCAACGGCATTGTCGGATCGATGTTTATACCTGATGGCGAGCCATTTGACGTGGAAAACAGCATGTGTATACAGAGCAAAGAAAATGACGCATTCGAGCGCAAGCAGATAAGATGGCCATCCGGACGGAGAAAACCTTCTTGATCTTGTCCAAGGGTTCAACATGCGTAGTAGCACTGAAGTCCAGCAGCCGTCGCTTCGAATCTTTTCGAGTCCAGGCGACTGACTGCAAGACTATCCCGGATCTTGCGAGGAGGCTGACTGTGTGGCTTGCGTGCTGTGCTGCTGCAATTGCTCGAACCGAAATGTAACGATCGAGCAACACCGACGTCGAATCGTAATACATGTAGATATCACGGTCATGAATCACTCTCTCTAACACTGACACAAAATGCGTGGGCAGAATCGAGTCAATCGATCGAGTGAGTCAAATAGCGGGTGCAATGTCGACGTGCGCTTCTGGCGATGGCTGCAGCGCACGACGATGTCGCGATATCTCACACGTGACCTGCTCCTGGACGACAGTGACCTTGAAACTGAAAACACGATTCCATTATACAAAATCGATGATTAACTGAACCCGCAGCTACGAAAATCTCCATACAGCCCAACCGCTAGTGGTCAGAGCCATCACTTGCTCCCTGACACACTTGATTCTGTGCGTTTATTGCCTGCAATGACTGGACGCATCACTCTGCTACTGGCACCGGCATGGAAACAGACGCATCGATGGCAGCAGCAGTATTGATGGCAACAACGGCATCGGCGGCCACCATAGCATCCACCGGCGTTTTCGAGGTCACTTCGGTAACCTTTGGAGCCACGGACGGGTCGACGTACGTGCCTTCCCGAGCCGACTTGATTGCCGCACTGATCACCGCGCGACGTTTGTAGCTGCTGGCATTCTTAGGAATGGGTGGCGCCAACACAGACCGACCGTCTACGACAAAATGCGTAACGCGCTCGTATGGGAACGGCGAAAGACGAGACTCGTGAAAGTATCCCGAGATCTTCAGCCGGCGCAAATGCACACGGTAAACCTTGTCTTGTGAACGGGCTTCCACCACAAAACCAGACCCAAATGTGGTCAGCACACGCTCATCCTTGTGATACTTATTCTTTCTACAAAACACAGCATAAGAACAGTTGTCACATGGGTCACGTAAAAGCATGATCAGCCATAGTCATCAGAAATACGTCGCGTACGGAGACATCTTGAGCGTTGTCATGGTAGACACCTTGGCCTTGACACTAGAAAGCGTGGGAAGGTTACCCGATAGCACCGGCAAATTAGCTGGAAGGGTGGGGAGGTTGCCAGCAACAGAAGCACTGCGCATCCTTTCCCCAGCGTTCATCATCGACGTACGCGTGAGGTTCAAAATCGACGACAAGCGCGTATTCGCAGCTGCAGGCGCGGGCGTCAAATCTGTTTGAGCCTGCTCGTCGCTCATGAACAGCAACGGCGATTGTCCAGCAGGCAACGACGCTTCCAGCTCCACTGCATACGTATCGTCGTCTTCACGAAAGTGGGCCACGAGACCTGGTCCAAATGGCGTGTCGACACGATCGCCGTTGGCAAAATGTGTTCGCCGACCAAGCATGCGCACTGAGTCCGGACCTAGGTACGCAGTAGCTCCACAAGGAGTCTCAACTACAAAAAACTTGTCCGGTCGGACTGCCAGCACCGTGCACACACCAAACGGCGTGCGCGCCTGGCCCAGACCGTCCGCTTGCTCCAATGCGTCAGACTTCATGGTCGCTGCAAAGCTGTGTCCCGAATCCGTCCGCATAAAGAAGCCCACAAATCACAACAAAGCAACAACAACAACAACAATAACAGTATGAGAAACCAGCCACATCACCCCAAAGCGGCCGCGGCACGAGCACTATATCATCAACCGTAAAGCCAAAGAAAAAACTCCTATCAATCCCAGCCATCGAAAACAAAGCGTCGTCCACTACCTCTTTGTAGTCGTCAACAGCTTCGAGCCCACGACGCTCTCCCGTAGCGAACTGTACCCTTCAAACAGCCGGTTCTTCGTGTTCTGCATCAACGTCCCTTTTGGATAAATCTTCTCAAACTTCTTGGTCGTGGCCTTCATGCGCCACACGTGCTCGTCGTCCCAGCGCCAGTCCAGCGCAATGCTGTACATGTCCTCGTCCACATAGTACTGCTCGACCGTGGCCATGCCCCACCGCGTCTTGACGCGCTCGCCCACGACGCTCTTAATCTCGCGCACAATCGCGTCCTCCTGCAAGTACGCGATGCTCTGGGGCACGACCTGCACGACGTAGCAGCTGTCGTCCAGCCGCACGTCCAGGACCGTGCCCGTGCCAAAGGTCGTGGCAACGCACATGCCACGCCGGATCTTGACCTCGGGCTCGGACTGCGGCGACAACGAGCTGCTCGAGCTCTCGGTCCCGTCTGCTGCTGGCTCAGGCGCCGAGCTCTGGCGCACGCTCATGCGGCGGTAGAGCGACGTGGCGGTCTGTTCAATGGAGAGACCTCGACGACGGAGCGCCGAAGCGACGGAGGCGGCAGGAGCTGGCGTGGGGGTGACGCCATTAAGGGACCGGCGCTCCGAGTGGAAGTCCGGGAGTTCTCGTGCTTGGTCCTCTTGAGGCTGCTCGGGTTTTGACTTGGTGTTTGTATGCGTGGGGTCGACTGCGGCTTGATCGTCCGTTTCGTCGTCTTTCACACTCTTTTCTTTGCGGTACGTGGATACTTTAGGAAGGAGGCCGCCGAGAGCGATGAAAGACCCGCGTTTGGGCTTGACAGCGGGACTGTCGTCTTTGATAGTGGCTACGACCATTGTACGTGATTGTTGAATGGTACAGAGGGACCTGCTGATGACACGAGAAAAGCGGTCTCGGTCTTCGTCTCCTTCTTCTTCTTTGTCTGTTTCGTCGCTTGGCTTCCTCGGGAGCTTGCACTTGACTGGACTTTTGCGGTTGTGAGGGAGGTGTGCGTTGGGGCGGGCATGCGGTGACGGCAGGAGACTTGACTAAGTATCGGTGGATACCGATATCGAGAGGGCACAAGAGAGGTACATGCGCGGAGCAGGGGGACACGTACGTCTTTAGGTAAGTTGACGCAATAGAGACAAGGAGAAACCGATTGGAAAATGCTATGGAGCAGCTGCTGTTTCGAGTCCCGCCGTTTCGCGAGCCAACGGCTACCTAGCAGATAGCGAGAAGCATTTGCGCAGTTTTGGTGATGTCGTGTGCTTCGGTAATTCGTGGTGTGGGACTGAGTATAGGGAGGAACTTGTGTTGAGTGAGTCGTCTAGTGAGAAAAAGGTGCCCGATAACCTCCCAATGATCGATGGACCTTGAACCAGGCAAGACATCGTGTCCCCTGTGGCATCACGCATCACATGAGACTCGTATTGTCCTCGGTTGTCCGCCCGAGAAGACACCTACGATCGCAGGAAATGACATGCATCAAGTCCGTGTCCTTAAGTATGGCGACGTCGCGGTTGCGTTCGCTGTTGGTCATTCAAAGGACCATGATACCCCTGTCACTTGCATGGTGTGCACGCATGCAGCACTGGGTGAGTCACTCGCTGGCGTGCAATAGAACAGGCGTCAGGATACATTGGCCGAGCCACTTGCGGTCGCTTGTCCACTGCACTTTCACGATTTACGTATACATCCATCTCTGCTACTGCCGTCGTACAGGAGCTCGTTGCTGTCAAAGTCGAGCAGTTTTGCACCGTTTGACGACGTTATGTTGATCCGTGGCTTGAACGCCTTTTCGAGCTCGTCAGTGTCCACGTCGCAGTCGGTCCTGACTTTCCACTGACGTACGAAAACAATCTGTGCGACGGTTACCACTGTAACATTACAAACGAAGTCGAGCGCCACGCATACGCGGTCTTCAGTTAGCCATAACGTAGCACAAGCTCTAAGCAAACGAAATCGAGTAATGCCCCGTCGGATAAACAACCGTGGATAACTGTGTTTCGTGCTGAGTTTGCAACGCAGCCACCAGCTACTGATGTCAGTGGTATCACCCTTGCCGCAGTCTTGCTGACCGTTACTTCTGACGCTCGCAGGTCGACGGCGCGATATGGATGCATTTCTGGCTTTACTGGTCTAGAAACGCATGCAAGCGAGGTGCACATAGCCTACTCGTTAGATGCGTTGTGTGCTTTTTGCGTGCCGATAGCGACGCCTGCTCTTTGACGTACACACGCCGCAATGGGCGCAGCTTGGCCCGTGCACTGATCCAGTCCAGTGGACGCTAGGAGTCTTCCAACTCGTGTAAACACGTGCACAATTGCACCAGTACACAGCGCAATCCGTTTCTAGCTACAGCAAGAGACCAAGCTAAACTGATGAATCAGCTGTTTTCGCTCTCTCACTCGTGAAACAACTACGTAGTTGTAGTCTATGAGGTAGACTCACCCGCGAGATTGCGCTCAGAACTGGCGGTCAACTTTTGCTACTGCTGCAGCTGCTGTGTAGCCACCACCTCTGACCTACTATCACATACTTTCGACCCGAGGTCAGGTCGTTCTTTCAGACTGTTGAAACACTTTGTCGAGCCTGAAGAACGAGGTCAAACTCGACAGCCTGAATGACTTACATCGACGCCGGGCGCTGTGGATGCGGATCTCAGTGGCTGTACAGCCCGCTCGCTGATGGAGCTCAATGCTCCCGTTGTTCTCCTGGATAACTACATGCTACTGTGCTATAGTTGCGCATTATTGCGAATCACCGATACCATCTCTCTCAACAATGGCTCTTTTTTCCACTGCATCTAACCAACAACATCAAGCAATGCCTTGCCACCAACTCCATCGTAACCGGATGGATACTTAAGCCCTCAATCTTCGTCGCTTTATTGATAGTCAGTCTGAACTGAATTTCTTCATCCTAAACTTGACCGAATCATTCTTTGTCCTCGATCGGCTCGACTCAACCGTTTTATTGACGTTTTTTTCATTGAGAAATGGTGCGTGAAGTCTACGAAATGACTGGCATGCCTCGTAGTCCATCGGTAACATCTTCGTGCTTCTTGTGAGACGTAGAAATTCCGATTCTGCGGAGGTTTGGAGCCTCCCGACTGGGTGCTGGTCGAGATTCCGCTGCTGCTGTCGGGAGAGTCGCGCAAAGTCGTACGTCTTGTGATGTTCTGGAAAAAATAGGGAACAAGCGCGAGTGGTACTGACTGCCACTTACTTCACAGCTACCTAGTGATCTCAGCGCCATGTGCCACGCTCTTGCAGTGAATATCACACGAGAGGTGCGTACTGCTGCTATGAGTGGAGCTCTTATGAAGATAGAGAGGGTTAGTAATAGCGGCCGCAGGAGCTTGAGCAAGCGCAGTCACTGTTTGAAGAGAAAGACGAGAGAAATGTGAGCAAGCAAACAAGTGGAGGAATCCTGCGTGCTTTCCTTGTTTGATCTGAAGATGATCGATGTATCATGGCATCTCTGTGTATGGCAGGCTGCAGTTGCTGTTCTGCGATTTATCTTGACACATGCTGCGAAATATGATGTGGAGCGTACCGATCTCGTGAAGGAGCTGTTACAACTGGGTATGCATCTGGCAGCAGCTGAGGCCATTGCGTTGAGCTACGAACATCATCGTCCTCGCATCCAAGACCAACTGCGTGCTCAACGGTTCCGGGTACACGCTTTTCGTTTCTGTTTCTAGTGTGTAACAGTTCTTTGGATAGTGCTTACCATGAGCGCGTGGCTTTAGTTTCCAGGCATCGAGAAGGTGAAGTGGAACGTGGAGGCCGACTCGAGAGTGTCCATGCACCTGATGCTGGACCGGCCGGTCATGGAATGCGACGTAGCGACAACGGCTGCGAGTTCCGAGCTCAGCTTCGACATGAGTAAAGCCAAGTTTCTGGCACTATACGAGGAGCTCCGTCAAGCGCAATCGATGCTCCGCAGTGTGCAGCCGTCCACAAGTTGACGGTTGCAGTTCCGGCTCCCCGCAATATAGCCTTGCATCGAAGTTGACAAGATTCGGGAATCCCGTGCACGTTCTGAGCATCGCGCCTATGACATCGTTGTCAATAGTATCACGAGACGAGTTCAAACCCAGTCGATCGTTGTGCTGGTCATGTTTCATCTAAAACAGTACCGGATGCAGCAAATTTGTCGCAACATGTTGTGCCAAGTGCCAGAGCAAAAGAACAAGCAAAACGTCACTAGATATAAAAAGCAAAAGCACGCCCAGGACACAACCACCACTGCACACTTTTTTTGCAGTTCGCCAAGTGTGACAGACACCACCTCTTTTGTCTGCTTTTTATTCTAGGTCATGGACATTCATTCCTGCATGTACCCAAATGTGTCGTTTCTGTCTCTGCCCGACCGAGACACTTCGGTCCGGACAACGCCCTCCCTCCTCGGACTGACAGCGACTGTCCAATCCCATAATCCCAACCCCATCGCGGAAGAAAAATGAGTCATCCAGCAAACGACAAAAGAGCTCGTCGATAGAGCGAGGTAATTGACGCACTTGGACGGCCATGGGCAGCGGGTCGTGGGTCGTGCACGAAGGGTTTCTGCTCTGCAAAGAGGAGGAGAATGCGGCAGCACAAGACGCGAGCTCCGACGTCCCCAAGCGGCTGCCACTAATGGGTACAAGTCGTACGAGTGCGAGTACGAGTGCGAGTGCGACTCGAGGCTTGACGGCGCTCTATGTCGTGCTTACTCTGAACCGCAAGCTCGAGTTCTTTGACACGAGCGAAGCGGCGACACGCACGCGAGTGGATGCCGCTTCTCTCCAGGGGTTTGCTGGCTGGGACGGGGACGGTCGGTTGCAGGTCCCTGCGTATGGCCTCGAGCTCAAAGTCGAGCGCAATGTTAACTCGCGGATGCACTTGGCGGCGTTCAATCGCGTGGATTTGGAGAAATGGTGTCGGGCTTTTATGGGTACGTTCGTCGGTCATAAGTGGAAGAGAAATGGGCTACTTGATAGGGGTAACTGCGGGTTTCGACCAGAGTTTTGGTGTGGTACACTGACGGTGTTTGTATTGTTATTATTGGTGTTATTGTCATTATTGGTGTTGTTGTCATTATTGGTGTTGTTGGTGTTTATTGGTGGTGGTGGTGGTGTTGTTGTTGTTGTTATAGCGGTGTTGGATCCGCAGAGTGCAGCGGGAGAGGAGGTGCGACGTGAACGGCGTCGGGTGAGAAAGGAGGAGAAGCGGTTGCAAGAGGAGCGCGATGAGAAGATTCGTAAATGGAGAGAGAAGAAAGCTCGGATGATCAAGGAAGAGCAGGATCGGTTACTGGCGAGGGAAGAGGAGATCAATAACATGACGCCGCTGGAGCGCGTGGATGGGCTTGGCTCGTTGGATGACGATACGGCGAAAATGCTGGAGAAGAGAAAGCTCCGGCTGCAACGGCGACAGGCGCCGACTATGGAGAGAGTGAACAAGGCGGCGTATCGACGACGGATGGAAGAGGCGGCAGGCGGGAAGACAGACAACATGCAGCGACTGCAGACGAAGGTCGTGGAGCAAAAGGCGAGAATTCGTGTAGATCTTCCTCCTCCTGGACAGTGTGAGTTTGATTTTTCTTTCGTGACTGTTGTTCGTGGGGTCAAAGTAGTGATGTAACGTATGGGCTTTGTGTGTTGTGGATCAGTTTTCGAGGTTGGTGGCGTTGTACACAACGACTTCGCAGTACGACGAGGGTCCTTTGGTAGCGATGTGTCCGACAGCTCTTCCATGTCATCGCGACTTTCTTCTGTTTCGTCTGCAGCAGGATCCAGGTATGATGGTGGTATGGCCTCTGTACCTCCCCCTCCGCCACCATTACCACGCTGGTCTGGCAGCAGCTCTCGAGGCTCGGTGTCATCTAGATCACCGATGGGCATACCACCCCCGCCACCCCCACCCTTTGACCCGGGTTGTATTCGTGATGGAGAGTCTCGGCTCTCAAGATCCAGCAGCAGCTTGCGCAGCGCATCATTTGACTCTTTTGCATTCGACAGAGACGACGAGTCTATGCGATCTCGAAGTTCGTTCTCGCAAAGCAAAAGCGCTGTGTCGCAGGCGAACCGTAAGGACAGAACGAACATGGAGAATAATTTGGCCGCGATTCTGGGCGACGGAAGGCCGAGATCTGCCTCACGTGCGTCTCGTAGAAGCCATCGACGCGACTCAACCGTGAGCTCAATAACAACGGCACCGTACTCAGTACCGGACCGAACGTCACGGACGAGTGTCGCGGGATCGAATGGCAACAATGGCGCAGAATCGTCTATGGCAAATGTGTTTGCTGCCAGTCTTGTCGCAATTCGCCGTAATCGTGCCGATACCGTAGAATCTGCGAGCGCTGTCAAGCATGCTGCAAGTCCGGTAGAGCACACACATCGTAATGGCAAGAAACTGCGCGACCGAAATTTCGACTCTGGGCTTAGTGCTGCGAAAAACGGAATGATGAAAACGACAACGAGCGATGGTAGCACGGAGGGTGCACCGTCTAAGTCTAAGACATCAGCGACGTCAGGTCGCAAGGGGCTGTTTGACGATAGTAGCAGTGACGAAGATTCGGATACTGGGTTGTTTGGTGTGGGTAAGCAAGCGAGCAAAACGGTGAACGGTGCCTCTTTGACTTCAAACAGCGCATGCTCCAGTGATGCGAGCGTGGACATACGCCCGAAGGATGTGACTCCTGCAGCGTCTTCGAGCGATGATGAAGACGCATCAAGTGACACGGATTCCACCAGCGGTCGGTACCCTTTTGCGGATTCGTATCTCGTTAAAGCTTATCGGTTTAACGCGCTTGTATGTCATCTTTGTTTTGAGCAGAGATGTCGTTCTTCGCGCAGCGCCATGTCACTGACACAAGTGCACAAAACACCGGAGCGGACAACGCTGGGGTCGGTAGGTTGGGACCCAATGTCGTTGTGCTGTTCAAAACGTGTGCGCTACGCACGGAGGGCAAAAAGTCAGACGGCGTGTATACGTTCACGCTTCAGCTTGGGAACTTGGAGCACAGTTTCTCGTTCACGTACGCGGGGTTTGAAGCGATACATTTGCAGCTGACTGCGGCTTTTCCGGGGATGGCACTACCGAAGTTCCCTTCGAAGCACCGCTTGCGTAACAACACAAAACCCGAGAACATGGAAAAGCGTGCGCACGAGTTTCGGTTTTACTTGCAGCAGTTGGTTTCGTCACGCGGGGTGCTGTCGAGTAAGCGATTTCAGCTGGAATACCATATCAGTGGTGCATTTGCGCAAGCATTAGCGAACGACCAGAAATCGAATCCGAGTGCTGCAAGTGGTGTCCGTTCCAACGGTCGTCCCCCGAGGAGCCCAGTTGCACCTGTACTGAGTCAGCAATCGGCTTTACCTGCTAGTTCTTCTCGACTGGCGAACCCTTGTGCTCAGGTTACCAAGACAAAGGCATCGAAGGGGCTGTTTGGATTGGATGACTCTGATTCCGATCCCGAGTCTAACTCGGACACACCGGTTGATGCGCCAAAGCCTTCGACAAGGCAGCAGCGGCGCGAGTCTGCAGCTTCATTGACTCAGAAGGGAACAATGCTAGAAAGGTCCGAACGGTCGAGTAGCGTTCTGAGTTCGGTTGATGGAGATACTCAGCGTGGCAAGAAGAGCCGGTCGCGTTCACGGTTAAGCTCTCGAGCGAGCTCCAGGACAAGCGTCTGCGCATCTCTAGAGCCTACCATGAAGCCGAAAGTGACGGGCCTTCCCCCTGGACGGCCCAATCCGTTTGCAGGCGGTCATGGCGATTTACTTGCTGCGATTCGACAGGGGAAACAGCTGAAGAATAGTACTGACGGCTCGGCAGGTGACAGCTCGTTCCAAGGTGCATCGACCACCGCAAAACCTTTGTCGCCACCACCTGCGCTCACGCAACCAGGTTCTATCAATGAAGCCATCACGAATGCCATGGCGATGCGGCGCATCCACGTGGAGTACGAGGAAACGAACTCGAACGCAGCCTCCGACTCAGATGACGACTGGGACTGAACGAACGTCACCTCGCGTGGGATAGTGTCTCTTGCATCGAGGGTGTCTGTGTGAGCTCCGTTGGAAGAGCAGAGCAGGAAGGACACCGCCACTTGATCGTGCGAGACCGTAAAATAGCATGTACGACGCCTGAAGCAGCAAGATTCAGTGTCCGGCGGACGCAACCGTACAATTGGGACTAGAATCCACACAGCAGTGCCTGGTGGATCAAAGATGGAGTAAATCTGCCGATGAACAATGATTTGATGGCGCATGCAAGTGCATTTGAGCTTCGGAGGCACTTACTTGAAGGCCTAAAGACTGATCCCATTGTTAAAAGCCGACATCCTCACCATCTGCCGATCCGACGAAGCTTCCCTCGAACTTGTCCGTGGCCGGTGACTAGCACAAAACCGAATAGAAAGCACATCGGAACAGAATGCAAACACACCATAGCACGATGTCATAAGCTCGTTGACTAAATGCAACATCGACAGATTAACATGTCACATGACAGTAGTACCTCTTCCATCCTGCTGAAAAGAATGCCAACCACCGAAAACGCTGCGGCCATGCCCATTCCCCATAAGAAACTCTGCTCGATCATAAGTATCCGAGTCGGAATCAGCATAAGCTCTTGCTCCATACCCTTTACTACCACTCGGACTCACCTCTTTCATCACGCCACCAAATGTCTGAGGTGCCTGCGAATCAGACTGCACGAACGGATTCGCAGGGACATTCGATTGAGCAGGCACTTCCGCGAGTGCATTGGACGGCTTTGGTGTCTTAGGCACGATACGACGCGCCTCGCTCTTCTTGACACGAATGGGCTTCGGACGCTTTGCGCTCGTGGACGAGAAGCCTCGGGCGGTAGCGGATACACGCACCGACGATCGCAACAGCTCCAAAATCATTGGGGACACGTGACGGTATACTGTGTGTCTATCCTGTGTTGACCGATTACGAGTTTTGTCCCTGCTCTTCTTGAGCTGATCCAATTTTCCGTGATGGATGTTCTTATCTTGTAGTACTATATATAGCGATATCGCTATATACGGTGATCGGTGCTTCCTAGAAACGGTACTGCCAAGTTGACCAGTTCAGAAAGTCGAATGTGATGCCGTCAAGCGACGACCACATTCGAACTGGTCCGTCTGCCTCAATTGTAACGCCTTCGCGTCGCGCGATTCGACAGGCGAGCAACTGCTGTCACTCGTGAGTGCCACTTTGCCAAACAGGGCAGCACAACCAATGACGAGGCCAATGACGTCAGCAACAGCTCAAGACACGAGGGATGATGACGGCTAAGTTGCACGCTCGACTACTTGTATTGCACGATTAACGCAGTAAATAAATAAAATTTACTCTCTTCTCCACGGAGTAGCTAGCAGCTCCACCTATTGTACGTGTGTGGTGTCGCCTCGGCTAAGTGTGTGTGTGTCGGATATGTGTCACCAGTGCCTTCCTCATCGTCTCCCCTCTCTTCCTTCTTCCACCTCCTCTCCATCATCATCATCATCATCACCATCTCTCTCTCTCTCTCTCTCTCTCTGCAAGTCTCTAAACTGTTCCCCTGATTCTCCATCTCGTCTCTTTCACACCGAGTAACTCGTGTCAAAGGATTCTCCCGCGCGCATGCGCTGACTCGCAGGGACTTCGTAGCCCGACAAGCTCACGTACCCCGCGTCGTAGCTGCTCGGGTTCTTGCCAATGAACGAACTGAACACTGCGCTCTTGGACAGCGTCGGGTGTGCTCGGATCACGAGCAGCAGCTCCTCCAGCTGCGCAGCGCGTGCCGTCAACAGCTTATCCGGCGCCACAACCATCTGGAACATAGACACAAGGCCATGCGGCGGCAGTTTCGGCAGCTTCGAGAGCACCGAGAGGCCCTCGTGGAGCAGCTTAAAGTCCGTGAACCGACGACGGACGACGTAGGCGTTGCTGTCACTTGGTCCGCCCACGTCCACCTTGAACATCCACGTGCCGTGACTGTTCTTCGAGTACCCCGAGATGGTCAACGTCCGGACGAGATCCAGCTCGTCACCGGCCGAGTACGGACGCGTGCGGAGGGCGCTGCTGGACGAAGAAGCAGCTATGGCAGGCATCAGCATGCGCTCGAGACGCAGCGCTGACTCGGAGTAGCTCTTGTGGCGACGGGCAGGATGGCGATGACGCGAGTCATTGGCGACAAGTGCTCGAGAGCTGGAGCTGTTCGCGGGCCAGCGGCTCTGCACGTAGACAACGGCCGTGGCGGTGGGAGACGTGGACATGGAGGCAGTCGAGGGCGACGCGGGCTTGAGACTGAGGCGGTAGACCGTGGGCGGCGGCGGCGTCGTCGTGGCGCTCTTGTAGGTGATGGACGCTCCCCGCGGGAGGCACTCCGGGACCATCATCGTTGTGGTGGTGAGGGCGGGAATGGTGGAGGCGGGTGCGCTATGGTGGCGAGCAGTCGCAAGCAGGTGATGCAAGGAGGAGAGGGGGGGCTGAAGTGGGCACGAGAGGTGGAGCGGGGGGGGAGGCAGAGGGGTCAAAGAACGATACAGCGACCTGCTCTACGGAATGGAAAGTCAGAGACACGCAATCCACTTGTCCTCTTGACGGCAAATTCGAAAGTGAGAGAGAGAGTGGAGAGTGGAGAGTGGAGAGTGGAGAGTGGAGCGCTCTCTCTCTCCTTCTCCTCGGTGGGCCAATAACGAACGCGGCTGGAGCGACAGGGCGCGCGACACGAGGCGGCCACAAAATTAATGACCAAAAACTGAGCGGCTTGCGAGTGTTCACGCGCGTTTCACTTGACTTGACTATGCCACGCTGAAAAAGATCCGTTTCGGACAGTCTGAATAAACATCATGGTCGCAGCTGATGCTGCCAGTGGTGCGACCATCAACGAGGAGCAAGGCGTGGCTCTGACTTGCTGTGGAGCGCTCGAGTCGCGACATGCTTTTAGTGGCCAGGGAAGTAGATGCCCGCGCACGGCCAAGTCTTTGCATTGAAAAAAGAGGCACTTCCAAAGCGAGTGGAAAGTGTCGCCTCTGTCCGTCGCGGTGCAGGCTGTTGCCAACGCTTGGGAAGCATCTCGGCGGTTAGGCACTTAGCAGGAAGGTTGCTACCCTGTTCTTTACATTTCTTTCTTGTGCATTATCGGGACTTGGCCACATCCGAAATTAGTCACGCCGTCGCGACGCGTGGAGGAACCAAGTCGATTGCAAAGCCGCGATTTACGAGCGTACGCTGGGTCGACGCCGCAGCTCTCGAGTGGAAGGCCGCTTGACAAGCTACGTTTCTGTGTGGTTCAGACCTTCTGTCTAACACCTCTTGTCCATACTGGACTTGTTGAAACTTTTCTCTCCTGGTCGGGGACAACTCTACCGTCTCATAGCCGCTAGTGCTGGAAAAAAGCCGCGACAAAGTCTCAGGCTAGTTAGTCCTTCTTTTTTGCCGAGTTGTTCTGGAGGTCGTGCGTGATGTCCACGAGGCCGCGATTGGTTTCGGTGCATGTGACAGAAAAAAGTGGGAGGCTGCATGTGAGAAATATCCGTGGAAAACCTCGTTGCTCGCTGAAGTCTGTCGCGGCTTCGCGTTCAAAGAGACACGACTTGGCTGCAGAGCCAGCCATTGAAAATTTGATGCTGAACATGTGACGACCCCTTCCAGCGGCGCGGGCAGGAAAAGAATGCCGAGGAGGCCGCTGGTCCAATGCAGTGCCACTTGCGCGCTGATTTCAATGCGTCTGCAGCCCCTTTTCACTGGCACTTCTACCAGCGCTCTTCTCGTCTCGTTCGGCTCCATGCTGCAGTAGTGGGGTTTACCTCTCCGAGAGGTCGATTGAGCGTGCATGATACGGGTCTTTCGATTCTAGCTGTGAGGAAGTCAACTGCATAGATGTCGCAGAGTGCGATCGGTGCTGCGTCTGACGAGTCAGGGGATCCCTGGCCGGTGCCCAACGAGTACGTACGGTGTTGCACGGGCAAGAAAGACATTGATCCAGCAGACACGCTGGACGTCGTTTTTCTCTGTTCTCCCAGACAGTGCGAGCGATCAGCGCACGCCTCGAAGCTGTTCCTTTCTAAATTTGTGACTCTAATCCGCACGCGAGTGCATGGGGCGCGCGTGCCTTGATTTGTTGCAGCGCCGCGTGTTCGGGGACGCTTCGGTCGTCTCCTCGGTGGCACGTAGATGGCAGATACCTCGGTATCCAGAGTATGCTCGTTGTTGGCAAAGATCGGACTGCTGTTACTACTACTGCTGCTGCTGCTGCTGGATGACATCGCTGGTGACGTGTCGAGATCCGACTGAAGCACGAGTCGCGTCGCGGTGGTGACTGACCAGTCGTAAAAGGCGTAACTGAGAGTCGTGGTGGCGTGCGCTTTGAGGTGGGGCCGATTGCTGCAGTCGTGACGCGTCTAGCAACTGGACTTTCAGCTGCAGTGAGGTTCGAGTTGGAAGACTTTTGTTACGGACCACGTGCCAAGTGTCTGGGCACTGCCAGAGTTGAGCAATGGTACTGCCGTGCTGTGCTCGAACATCGAGAGCGGTGTTGACGATCAACAATAGTAACATCATGACAGCCGTCGATAGGTGGGAAGTACTCGGGTGCTGGATGCAGACCGCTCCGGTTGCTCAAGGCAGCTTTACTCAGTCCTGGAGCGGAGACTGGTAGTGGAATGACGTCAAGCACGAACAATGTAGGCACGGAATGACGTTGTGCACATACATCAAAGGTGGCGGTCTCCTGATGGACGGTAAGTATGGACAGGTACGACAATCGGATTGTCAAGCGTAGCGAACTTTGTCCCCTCTGTTGTCAAACATCTGCACACACTCTCGAACCGAAGCCTCGAGCTCGCTGTTGCAGTCGTTTCGGTTCGTGTACAACGAGTCGGTAGGTAGGTAGGTAGCTGTCTAGCAGGACGATAGTCGATCGCCGATGTGAGTGAAATTCAGACGTCTGAGCTCCTCACGCCTTGCACAGCGTTCTTTTGTCAAGACAAAGAGCACGTCTTTGTCCGGTGACAAGACACTGTGTGCTCCGCGCGTTGTCAAGTGGCACATGGCTTCGAACGGCAGCTCGGATGCGAACGACGTGGGGCCATCTCGTAATAGCAGTGTCACTGCTTTCAACGATGAAGGTACAGCACATCTCTGACTATCGCGTGCGAGTGAGTGGTCCTGACGAACGGCATTCCCCATCACGACGTAACACATCGATGCCAAGTCTGATAACTACGATGCTACGGCAGCACAACAGGGTTCACAGTTGACGGGTACGTCGCTGTTTACCGATGAGATCGATCCCTGACAAGCGGAATTTGCTGAATAGCATTACAGCATGTGAGTGTCAGGCTGCTGTCATGACGAACAAGCTGCTGTACTCACTTTTGCAAGTTCCTGCACTTCTTCAATCACGTGAGCAATGGTCACGATTGAGTAAGCTGCAAGCGGAGTCGTAGGTCACAACACTGCACTTGCGAGCTCCGAAACGTGAGCGTGACACTCGCGATCATTTGTCGAGTGTTCACATGCACTTGAACGCGAAACCAACCGGTTCCCAACGAGCAGCACAAACCTGGAACAGAGATGAAACTGTAGACCACAGCATGGCCGATCTCACCTCCAAGTGCTCTGACCCGATGACTCGGGAAGTGCTCGCTCCGATTAGTGAGAGTGAACTCGGCAGTTGTTTCCTCCTTTTGCACGGCACAGCAGCAACTGCAGCTTCGTGAGTACTGCCACTGGCTGAAGCAGGTTTGTGCCCTGGGACTTCGACCACGACGACATCGACATGCGCTAGCACGTATGCAGGCGCACGTGTTCCTTAGCCACTCGTGTGATAATTGCATCGGACGAGACACACTCCTTGCGCTCCCGTCTTGAGCTCATCAATGTGCTACAACAAAGTCTACACTCCGTGACCATCATCTTCACTATTCGGCAAGAAGCCTCACGTAGACAACAGAGCGTCTATCTCTGCAATGGACGATGCTGTAGTCTCATATGCAGTCAAAGCCATCAAAAAGTGCGGCAACCCTTTCGTCGGACTGCTTCACTCGTCCTCCAGCTCCTGAAAATGTTGCTGACTCATGATGGCGCCTAGAGGAAGGCGAACGTCATCTACAACGTGCGCCATCGGCTTGCGCTTGTCCAGTTTACGCCAGGCTTCGTAAACAGCGTCTACACATGTTGTTGACGCTGTACCGTATGCTCTCGACACCGCACGGGCGACGACTCATCGGAGATGCTGACGTTGCTGCGAACGGCTTGAGCCTTTCTCGCAACGGCACGAAACTCTTGTCGTCGCTCTAATAGCTCTGCTTCGAGTTAGTGATGGTTTTCCATCGCTCTTGGTCATGCGCGGATGCGGTGCATGGTAATACACGTGTAATAACGAACTAGAGATGCACAAAGACTTGCTTCCGTTCGCGAGAAGGCAGAACCGCCATGTCAAACTACCCGAGCTACCACCTGTTCCGAAACTTGCGTCGCTAATGAAGTGCCGTCAGCTAAATTCAGTACGAAACAAGAGCGCGTCCTTCCCACTCCCAAATAGCAGCTCCAAACGTAGCCGCACACACACAGAGAGAGAGAGAGAGATCGACCAGCATACTCTTCATGTCACTATCAACAAGTTCTCCACCCCCCCCCACCCCCACCCCCTCTCTTCATCCGACATCGATCTCTCGCGACCTCTAGCTTCGAACCTACACTCCCCCCATTCCACGCTTCCCACCAACCTACATTCGACATCTCCCTCGCTTACGTCCGAAAAGCCATCCCGGACCCGAACAGTCCGTGTATACCCCGTGTATACCACCCACCCACCCATCCACCCTCTCAGTCCATCATTCCTCAAGCCCCGCCGTCGTCCTGAGCAGCTCCATCCGTCTCCGTCTCTCCCTGTCTCTCCATGAACCCGTCGCCGTATCCAGGCGGTCCCAGCGACCGCCACGGCCCCGCCCCCGCGTCCTCCTCCGCCAGTCTCGACCGCAAGACCGGGCCGCCCGCTCCTCCCCGTCCGTCTCCTCCGCCCTCCCTCACCCCGTACCACTCCCAGCCAACGTCGCTCTCCTCCCAATTGAGCCACCACCTGCACCCGCTCCACGGCAGCAGCGCCTCGAGCTCCCACACGCTCATGCACGCGCTCAGCAGCTCCGGCCCGTCGTCGTCCTCCGCCTCGTCCCGCTCGCCTCATCCCCTGGCGACGCCCTCGTCGTCGTCGTCGTCGTCCCTTTTGCACGCGCCACGGGGCGCGCTAGGCCCGTCCAGCTCTGTCTCTGGACCGCCTTCCGTGCTCTCCCAGCCACAAAACGCTGTCGCAGCTGCTGGAAACGCGGGGCTCTTGAACCACGCGGTCCGACTGCAGACGTCCAGTATGAGCCAAGCAATGGCTCAGCAGCAGCAGCAGCAGATTCATCAGCAGACAATGCACCCGGACCGGCTGAAGCCATCGACCCAGAGTTACACCGTCCGGCCGTCGTCGCCGAGACGGGGGGAGACGCCGCCGCCGCCGACGTCGCAGATGCCGCAGCAGTACGGACTGGACGGACGGATGATCCCGACCGACCAGGTGGATAGTGACTACTTTCAAGCAGCTATGGGAGGCGGCAATGGGGGACCAGTGCCGCCGCCTCCGCGGCATCGGGAACTTCGGGTTGAAGACGCGCTGCTGTATCTCGACCAAGTGAAGCAGCAGTTTGGCGACCAGCCGGATATTTACAACCAGTTTTTGGACGTGATGAAGGACTTTAAAGCTCAAGCTATTGACACGCCTGGTGTCATTCTGCGTGTCTCGACGCTCTTTCGAGGGTATCCGAACCTTATTCTGGGCTTTAATACGTTCTTGCCCCCGGGATATCGCATTCGACCGGATACGTCGATTGAAGTGATTCCGTCGCAGATGGCAGGACGGAATGGAGCAGGACAACCACCACCGTCGATGTACTCGACAGTAGGGACTCAGCAGTCTTCGAACGCGAACTTGTGCCTTCGTCCACCTCCCGTGACGATCCCACCGCCTCCGTACTCACCTCCAGAGCTTCACAAGCCAAACACAGCATCGCGGCAGCATTTACCACCTGGTGGGCATATGAAAACGGGTGGCAAAACCAAGAAACAGCCACAACAGGGACAGACATCAAGTGGTGGCAATCCGGCGGATCGAAGCTCAACGAACCCGGTCGAGTTTGACCACGCGATCCACTATGTGACCACGATCAAACAGCGCTTCGCTGATGAGCCGGAGACGTATAAAGAGTTTTTGGCGATATTGCACACGTACCAGAAAGAGCAGCGGTCCATCCGCCAGGTGCTTGACCAAGTTTCGCACCTTTTCCGAGATCATCCGGACCTACTGCGTGAGTTTACGTTCTTCTTGCCCGACGCCGTGCAGGAACAAGCGAAAGAGCGTCTGAATCGTGCTGCCGAAAAAGCTCAGCAGCGTAAAGACGTAATGGCGCTAAAAGCACGGAAGTATGGCTTATCATCGCAGAGTTACCAGCAGTCTGATCGACGCAATGACCGTGGATCGGATTCACCGTCCAGCGCCGCGATGAAAGGAGGACGCGGGATGGGCGATGATGATGATGCTCACATGAAGCACGGCAAGAAAGGGAGTAGCAGAGCACACAAGGATGATGACCACCGCCTGAGTGGCAAGGCATTGGAACGCCGGGAAAAGGAGCGTGAGCGCGAACGCAATCGTGCGCAGTTCAACCACAAGCGTGCTAAACGCCGCCCGTACGATGGAAAAGAACGCCGTACGTATTTGGCGATCTCGGACGTGCTTCTTGACAAAGAAGAGTGGACTATATTTGAGAAGATTAAAAAGATTCTTCCGTCCCGAGACAATTGGCGCGAATTTCTGAAGTGTCTTGAGCTTTACAGCCAGGAAGTACTGGACCGCAACGAGATGCTATCACTAATCAGGAATCTGTTCGGTCGTCATACGGATTTAGTGGAAGAGTTTGACCGTCTTATGTGCTCTCATGGTGTGCAAAAGAATGCGAAGGAAATATGGCCATTCATCCCGCTCGCTGAGACGGATTTGTCGCAGTGTCGCCGTGCCACTCCATCTTACCGTGGTTTACCATCGAGCTACCCCATACCACCCTGCTCTCATCGCTCGGCGCTGGAGAAGCAAGTGTGTAATGACTTGTGGGTATCCGTACCCACGGGCAGTGAGGATTTCTCGTTTAAGAGTATGCGAAAGAACCAGTACGAAGAAGCGCTGTTCAAATGTGAGGACGAGCGCTTCGAGATTGACATGGTTATCGAAACGAATGCGTCTACAATCAGTGTTCTTGAGCCGCTAGCGAATGAGATTGAGGCTCTCAAAAGGAGCGAGGAGTCAAGTGGTGAGGAAGGTCAGCTGTGGAACTATGTTGTGGACAAGGGCACGTTTCGTGTAACGCACTTGAATGCTATCACACGCATTTATGGTGAGTCAGGGACGCAGATATTGGAGTTGCTGCGTCAGTATCCTGCTGGCGCGATCCCCGTGATTCTGAAGCGACTGAAGCAGAAAGACGAAGAGTGGCGCCGCGCGCGTGAAGACCTGAATCGTCAATGGAAGGAAGTGAACGAGAAGAATTATCACAAGTCATTAGACCACTCCAGCTTTTACTTTAAGCAGAAAGACAAGAAACAGACAAGTGTGAAGACAATGATGCAGGAGGCCAAGAAGAAGTTGGAAGTGGACGAGAAGCGCGCTGAAGTGTCGAGAACGAATTCAGATCCACTATTACCTACTGGTACATCGACAACGAATGTACTGAATGCGAAGGCTCCTCCTCAGCCGTCGGACATCGCCGATGCGCTCAAAAGGGAACAATTGGTACATCCGGTGAAGACTGCAATTACGTCAACTAGTATACCAATGACACGCTTACCTCAGCCTGCGTCATGGACAAAGTGGAAGCCTCATTTCGTGTTCAAATTTGCATCTGTGCGGATTCACAAGGAGGCGTTCGGCTTACTATCGTACGCTGCAGAGAAGAATTTGAGCGTGGCTGACAAGGAGAAGATATCTAAGGTCTGGCAAAGCTTCTTTTTCCCGTTTTTCCACTTGGAGGAAGAGTGGCTTGTACGCAAGCCACAGCACACCACCGTGACACTCGAAAAGGCGAGGATGTTGCCTATTGGTACGGAGGTAAGCTCGGAGTTTGGAGAGGGGACGGTGCAGCAGTTTAACAAAGGAAAGGCCTACTTCACAATCAACTTGGCTGCAATAGGATGCCAGGCGTACCTGCAACCTAGTGCCCTCACAATCCAGGAGGCCGCAGACTTCCCACCCAGTCTCCCGGCCCTTGATAGCAAACAAGATGCTGCCAAGGTACAAGCCGATAACAAGTCGCTGTTCTATGGTAATCAGCATGCGTATGCTTTTCTGCGTTTGTATCAAGTGCTACACAATCGGCTTGAGCAAGCGTTTGACCTGTGTGAGAAAGCGAAACGCAACCGCAATCGTCGCACGATTAATCCTGCTGCCCGCGCACTAGCCCACGCTCACCATTCGTTGTCTGCGTCAACCAATGAGAAGACTGGCGACTACCAGTCGTTCGTGTCAAAGTTGTACTCACTGATCGACGGTTCGGTCGACAATGTCAAGTATGAGGACTCCTGTCGAAGCCTTATGGGCTCAACATCGTACTTCTTGTTCACGATGGACAAACTCGTGGCGCAGGTGCTTAAGCAGATGCAGCATTTGGCAAATGATGATACATGCCAGGAGCTGACTAAGGCGTTTGTTGAGGTGAAAGATGGACCAAAGGCCGTGACAGACGCGTCTGGTGGTGAAACCAAGACGACTGCATACCTCAATAAGACCAAGTCCATTTTCGAGGGTGAAGGTGCATTCCGCATTGAGTTTAACCCTGGCGTGTTGCGCAAGACGCCACTGGAAGCACGTGGTGGATCCACTCCCATCGGAGCGTCCGAGCCTTTCAAGATTTGGGCGCCTTCACCACGGGTGAGAGCTCCAGAATTCAGCAAGTGGCTGATTGAGCCCGAGTTGGCGATTGAGTACTTGGGCTCTATGGATGACGGTGGACACGATGACGATGACGACGACGATTCTCCGAGCGCAACGCCTATTGATACACCGTCGGCAACGCCTGTGTACGGTTCACCTGCGCACGACACGCCTGTGCACGATTCCCAGGACGACGATGACGACGAACCGATCAAAAAGTCAAAGGAGGTTGACGACATGGCGAAAGGAGCTACGACGCCAGCATCTTTTGGAAGTGTGGAGCAAAGTGACAGCGCTTCATCCGATGAGTTTGCGAGTGCGGCAATAGCTTTGGAGTCTGCAACATTGCTGAAGAAGCGCGCGTGTATTTCTTCTGAGCAGGACGACGCTGTGTTGATAGCATCGTTGTCTTCCTCGTCTGCAGGAATGTACGGACCACTGAAGAAGTCAAGGACAGTGCCGGACGCAGCGTCTGTCGGAGACAGGGATTCTGCTGATAAGCGGGACACTACCACAGCTTCGCGGAACGAAGGTCTGAGGATTAGAGCAGCGGAGACACCGTCTGCTCGTGCTGCTATACCCAAGACGGAGGCATTTAAACAAGAGGTAAAAGTAGAGAAGCTGCCGGAGCAGACTCAAAGCCTCGAGTTGGGTCAAGGAGGCTGACGAGTCGATCGGCTGCTAGTAATCTGAATCAACTCGCACTATCAATGAGATGCACCATGATGTCAGGCAAGTGCTGGTCTCGCTGCTGCTAACTTGGCGAGTTGAATGCTTGTCTCGATTATGTGCCAGATTCTGCAAAGAGTAGCACTGCGGTGGTTGTTTGCATTCCACTAGTTCGGCATCCGTATTGTCCACAGTGAGGAAGCAAATTTATTGCCAGAGAGTAAGGACACGACTACTGACTTGTCTATGTTTGCATTATCAAATAAAGTTGTGGAAACTCGTTGTATTGGTCGTAATAGTTGAATGGACTCGTTGTTGCAGTCAACATAGGCCGCATTGTAGACCTAACGATTTGTGCTGTGCCGCATGTGTGCTCGCAAGAAAAAACCAGTAAGAACCGCACTTGTGTCACATCGAGAGTTCATTTGAGGTTTAGAGTCAATGACTAATGAGGTAGCTAGTTTTCCCGCAAGATAATAACTTTAAAATACGTACGATGCAGTCTATCGGGAGCAAACTGCACAGGAACGGAAGAGACGTCCCTGTCCAGGTGGAAGTCGCACAATCACAAGTAGGCGTCGTCCGTCCACACTTGTTCCATGTTCGTAAAGTGACCGTTGTTCGGGACTTGTCTGTACAGAGGGACGGAGACCGACTTGGACTGCTGCATCTCCATCGACTCATTCACTTGACCCGGTTGAAAGTGCTGCTGCACAGACGTGCTGCGGTAGATCGGAGTCGAGACGGACACAGGACTGTCGTTCTTCCACATGTCACGCTGGGCACCCTGGACGTCCAGGATGCGCTTGTGCGGCAGAGACCCGGCAGGCGTATCTCCAAGTCGATACTGTTGCGTGGCGTCAGGTCCACTTGGTCCCACATACATGCTACCGCGCATGCTGTTGTTCGAGTACAAGTTGCCCGACATCATATAGTTGCTGGTTTGCTGCTGCTGATACTGGTGCACATGGCTTGCCGGCGAGCCGTAGGGCGAGTTCATCATGCCCATTGATGTCGAAGAAGGAGGCGTGCTCATCACAACGGACTCCGGGCTCGATGACCGCAGGCGTTGGATGGACGTTTGCATCGGCACGTAATCAAACGTCTCGTGGTTCTGAGTGGTCTGCGCGATATCGTCAGCGCCCGAGCACGAAGACGACGTCATCGATATCGGGCGACTATAGTCTTGGTTCAAAATGTTCAAGTAGCTGCCTCCGTTCACCGGGTAAACCACCGACGGTTGTCGCAGCGACGAGCCCATCAGATTCGAACGATCAAAGTCGACCATGGGGTTGCCATCCATCTGCAAGCACGAATCAAATCAACCAACAAAGAAATAGCGTCAGCCTCACGACTTTTCAACCTTCAAGTTCTGTCAGGAACTCACCCCACGTTGTTGCTGCGCCAGTTGCTCAAGTGGCGACAACCGTCGTTCCATCCCATCCATGGTCCGCTGCAGCGGTGCAGGACTCACTTGGTTCATCTGCACGGGCGACGACGTGAGCGACGCGACTCGAATGCTCTTGCCTTCGCGCATTGGTCCTTTTTTACGCATCGACTGTCGCTGCATGCGTCGCATGGTCGAGTAGTACCTGTTCTTAATAGCATTGTCCGTTCGACCCGGCAGCATCTTGGAGATCTCCGCCCATTGGTTGCCCACATTCTTGTGGCACTCAAAGATCACGTAATCTTCTTCAGCTGTCCACGCATCTTTGCGGACCAATGGGTTCAAGTGATTGTGCCATCGTTCACGACACTGTTTGCCCACCCGGCCAGGCAAGTGCATTGCAATGAGGGACCAGCGCTTGGCGCCGTACTGCTTCACCAATTGCATGAGCTTGTCATTCTCCTCGCGCGTCCATGGACGTTTGCTGTTCGAGTCTGTCTTGCGGCGCACGGTTGACTTGAATCCAGTATGGGAACGGTCCTCCAGCTCGTCTTCGCCAAACGAGTCTTCGGGACTGCCGTATTTACTGCTGGGACTGCTATCGGAGCTTTTCGGGTCCGAAGCTATGGTGGTTGCTCGAAGGTAACTCAACTGAAGAAAAAAAAACATCATACACAGAACAGCTGGTCAGTCCCGAGTTGTGAGGTTGTTTTAAGGTTTTTTCCTGCGGTTTCGATTTTGGGCTACAGGTTGGTTTCTATTCAGGAATAGGTTGCACATATTCGATAAAAGAAGCGACTATTGCCACAACGTACGTCAGGGTTGTGGGCCATGACGGTCAATATGGGTCCGTCGCTTTGGTGCATCATCTCGCTGCTCGAGTCTTTGCTGTCGTCGAACTCCATGAGCTCAATCGAGCGGTTCATTCGGGAATCGATTGCGGAACGGACGGACGGACGGATGGGCGAGTGTGTTGAAGCGTTGGCTTGGGAGGTGCCGAGCAGTTGGGGTTATGCCGCGTCCCAAACTTCGACGTCCGGCGCCCCCCCAAGATCGATCAAGCGGCACTTTATTTCGCTGGTAGGACTTGATTTCAGCCAATTGAAAGCGTGGACTTACAACATGTGAGCGAATGAGAACGAGGTAGGTCCCTTTGGTGGACACGAAAGGGCGCGGGGTCCGCGTTGACTTCCTGTTTGTATGCTCGGCAGAGAGCAGCTTGGCAACGGTCGGCCGGTCATGTCTCGCATCGGCTCAGTCTCGACCTGAAACCACAACGAAACCCCCTACCGCGTCCCCTATCCTTGAACTTGCCTTTCCCGCTCCATCGCGGCCAGCGTAGCGCTGCTGCTATATGTAATCAAACATTCACCTCCGTCGGCAACACGACGCAAGAGAGTTCCACGCCGTTACGTAACGACCAAAAGGGAAAGTGAGCTCTGTAGCTCCTGGTCCACTCGTTCACATAGCGTGACGGCGTTTCTTTTTTTTTCCTCGCTATTTCCCTCACACTGCTGTGTGTCTAGTCTAGAGCGCGTGTGCATGTGTGTGAAGTGAACGCGACGGTGGCGAAACTCCCCATGCCAAAAAAAAAAGTGTGAAACAGGCGGGCAACTGCTTGCTTGGTCGCGCTGCTTCAACATCGGGTCAAAAAAAGCACGCGGTACGACTGCGAATCATTTAAAAAGCAAGTCGACGAGATCGATTTGCACACGTCACAGCTTCCATTTGGATCCCCTAACTTGTTTCCACTTTTGATGACATAAAACGGCGCAGGTCGGGCGTGGACATCTGAGGTGGTCCACACCACATATCATCATCACCCACGACGAGCTCCTCAACCTCCCTCCCTCCTCCAGCCATGACTGCACGCGCTCTCTCTGTGATTGTAGCGGCGCTAGAGACAAATGGAGGCATCGGACTGCAGCAGAAGATCCCGTGGCATCTGCCGGCCGACATGAAGCACTTTCGAGCGCTCACGACGTCGTGTGGTGACCCGTTGAAGCAGCAACACGCAGTGATTATGGGACGCAAGACGTGGGAGTCGCTGCCAGCGACTGTGCGGCCCCTTCCCAAGCGCTACAACGTGATACTGACGCATGACCTGAACTACAGGACGAGAGAGAACATTCCAGATACTGTGGGCGTTGCTGCGAGTTTCAGCGAGGCGCTGGAGCTTGTGGAGCTGCAAGGAGAGAAGGTGGATCAGGTGTTTGTTATTGGCGGAAGCGCCGTGTACGCTGAAGCCCTGTCTCATAGTGAGTGCAAGAAGGTGTTTCTTACACGAGTCAAGGGAGAATTCAAGTGTGACGCGTTCTTTCCATTGGAGCTACTCAAGCAGAAGTTTACAATGACTAACGAGTCGGAGATCAAGAAGGAGAACGATGTGGAGTTTCAGTTCGTTGAGTGGGCACGAAGCGATACCGAAGAAGGAATTGAGGCTGTTGAGACACTGGAAATGGTGGACAACACGACATCACACGAAGAGATGCAGTACCTGGATCTGATCCGCAAGATTTTGAGTCAAGGTGTAAAGCGGATCGACCGGACCGGCACGGGGACGTTGTCAGTGTTTGGAGGGCAGATGCGATTTAGTTTGAGGAACAATGCGTTTCCGTTGCTAACGACGAAGCGCGTGTTCTGGCGAGGTGTGGCTGAGGAGCTGTTGTGGTTCATCAAGGGTGACACGAGTGCACGCACGCTACAGCAAAAAGGTGTCCGTATCTGGGACGGCAATGGATCGCGTGAGTACCTGGACAGTAGAGGCTTACAGTCACGGGAGGTAGGAGACCTTGGACCAGTATATGGTTTCCAGTGGCGTCATTTTGGTGCAAAGTACACCGACATGCATGCCGACTATACAGGCCAAGGTGTGGACCAGCTCGCCGAGGTGATACACAAACTCCGGACAAACCCTTCTGATCGCCGTATCGTGCTGTCAGCCTGGAATCCAGCTGACCTTGATGACATGGCACTGCCGCCGTGCCACATGTTCTGTCAGTTTTATGTCGCTGACGGTGAGCTGTCGTGCCAGATGTACCAGCGCTCAGCTGACATGGGGCTCGGCGTTCCATTCAATATCGCCAGCTATGCGCTGCTAACGCGTCTGGTGGCACAGGTGGCAGGTTTGAAACCCGGCGAGTTTATTCATGTCATTGGTGACGCGCATGTGTATCTGAACCACGTGGAACCGCTTCAGAAACAGATTCTGCGTGTGCCGCGCCCGTTCCCGACACTTTACATAAACCCTGAGAAGACTACGAGCATCGACGACTTCACTTACGATGATTTGGAGGTGCGCAATTATCATCCGTATGGAGCGATCAAGATGGAGATGTCCGTGTAGATGCTAGTAGAGTCGTTTGGCTTGAAGTTTGTGGTGAGCAATTCGCTGCATAATTCCTGATGACATTTGATGCCGTTTTAACGGTTTGGACATGTCCTTGGTACTGGAAAGGGCCACTATAAAGCGATACACCGAAATCGTACGGTCCGCAAAGTATTACGGGAATTTCGAACGGACAATCTCTGCTATTAGAGACTGCTTTCTAGGTCAACTGCAATTTCATTTTCGATTTGAAGACCTAATTTGTGATCGGTCCGGCGGTATGTCGGCTCCAGTTCTGACACACGCTATGAGAATTTGCAGTATAGGAAATAAGGCAAAGAAGTCGAAGTATGCTGCATCCTTACAGCTCATTTTTGATTTAAGACAGAGAAGCAGGCTCTGGAGCTCGTCCTTTGATACAAGTAACTCAGCTCATAGAATCGAATCAAGTTTTGTGTATTCACGTGCCTTGCGCACACTCACTAATAGCTTCACCCTTCGGGCTTGTAACAAATACAGAGTGATGAAACTTGTTCCTCCAAAATCAAACAAATGCTCCAGTCTACCGATTCCGCTGGTGAGTGGTGGAGTATTTCTGCTTGTGCTCTTCGTCAGTTTTTCGATTGAGAACTAAATAACGAAATACCATGGCGTAAGGATCCCTCGTACTAACCGATAATGAGCGTCGTAGGGTCGACAGCAATATTTTATTGACAATGCCAAACCAGTGGACCAGATCTTACACGGATGACTCTTGGGATGATGTGTATTGATAGATTTGAGACATGCTCGTGTAAACCTGCTGGTTACCTCTTTACCGAGAGGGTTGATGAAGTCGTTCTTCTCGACTACCTTCGATGTTGAGCAACAGACCAATCAATGTTTGTGAATAGTTGCAGGCAGGAAGGAAGAGTAGTGTCATACATCGTCTTATGGGTACAATTCAGGGCAGCGTATGTCGTAAAAAATGTTTACTCGTCACTGGAAGCCAAAGGAGGAGAGGCCAGTCCTTGTTACTAGCATTTAACTGACAATGCCGTCCGTCTCACGCGATCTCTATCCAGCACGATTATTGCTGGCCTGCGTAACTACCACCTGATCATGTACGTTCTCCACGGATTTATGGACGCGATGCGGAGCTCATCATTACCACACCATATGCGTTTACAGAGCAGTGTCGTGTCTGCTTGCGGTTGTCCCGGACATTGGAGAAGGACATGTCGCATTGCTGCAGGAGCAGCAATTTTGTCATTTTGGACGGCGTTAGGTAGGTCACGTGCTGTGTCTGGTGAGATCGAGAATGTAACAATGAGCCAGCTCTCTTTCGTTTGGTTCAACTTCGTCCTGTTACGGCGCAGTCGCCGAGAACCTCGTTTCGGCACGTTCTGTCGCGACACCCTGTTCTCTTTTGCCGGCTTTATGCAGGGTGCTCTCAATGCTAAAAGTAGCAACGTTCTAGTAATTGTGGTAGTGTAGTTACGACTCGAGCGGACAAAAACGAAGAAAATGTCATACACAAGTTTTTTAGCGCAGTTGGGTAGAGAATGAACCAGGCGCAATGAATACGCGAGTGCCGTATAAATATCATCTGCTCTATGCGGTGTGACAGCTGCTGCTGTTACACCAGACAGGTTACGGACGATGAGATGTTTCCTTAGAACCAGCTCGATTCGGGGTGGCAACGGACTCAATGAGTCAAAGCTGCTCAAATCTGTCGTGAAGAAGTAGTTATCTGCAGCTCGGTGTGAGTTACTGAGCAGCCGAATTGTGCCACGACGACTTACAATTCTGAATAGCAGGCGATGAATTCGTGCCGTCCCCACTTGCTTATGATGGACCATCTCAATGAACAAAAAGCGGCAACGCAAGGCACGCTGTGTACAGAAGTTTCTGCAAAACTGACCACGACAAACGTTCACCAGCTAGACTTCTTCGATCAATCGCACAACAAACACTACCGCAAACCTTACGTTGCGACGTCATCTTAACATGAAGCATAAAACCTCGTCACGTACACTGCACCGCACGAGCAGTCTATCTTTTTCTGTATTCTTCAGCGACGAGCTTTGCAATCGTGGTGAGCTGCATGTTGCTCGTGCCTTCGTAAATGGAGCCAATTTTTGCATCGCGGTAAAATTTCTCCGCGAGCAAGTACTTGGAGAAACCGATCCCACCGAGCATCTCAATACATTTCGACGCTGTCTTCTCAGCTACGCGTGACGCGTGGAGCTTCGCCATTGCAGCCTGTTTGACAAAAGGAAGACCAGCGTCTTTGAGTCGTGCAGCGTTGTACACCAACAAACGCGCCGTCTCGATATCCAGCGCAGCTTCCGCATACTGGTGCTGCATCGCTTGAAACTCTCCAATTGCCGTTCCAAATTGATACCGCTCGAACAAGTACGGAAGTGTCTGGTCGTACACGCCTTGAGCCAGTCCCAACATCTGTGACGCAATGCCAATGCGCCCTTCATTCAACGTGCTGATTGCAATCTTGTAACCCTTCCCAAGCTCCCCCAAGATGCTTTCCTTCGGTACTTTCACGTCCACGAGTGTGACAGGACACGTCGACGATGCACGAATGCCCAGCTTCTCTTCGGGTTTGCCAATCTCAAGTCCTACCATGTCTCGATCCACAATAAAGCACGTAATGCCCTTGTACCCTTCCGACAGGTTGACGTTAGCAAACACCAAGTACACGCCCGAGTACTCTGCATTCGAGATCCACATCTTCTGTCCCGTGATCGAGTAGTAACTTCCATCCGCCGACGCTTCTGCCTTTGTCTTCAAGGCAAACGCGTCACTGCCGGACCCCGCCTCCGTCAGACAGAAACTCCCAATCTACAACAAAAAGCACAACACCATTGCCACAACATCAGCACTTGCAGCATTCTCCACACGCCATCAATTGACCCCATCGCACCATGTCGGTACTCAATCTCGGCAGATACTTTTCCTTCTGCGCCTCCGTGCCGTGCAGCTGTAGTACAAACAGCAACGTCAGCGACACCATCTCCATCACGCTCCCAACAGTCTCACGCTCGCACCAAAAAGACGTTGTTCACGACAGTATTCTGCAGATCCACGAGCAGCCCCACGACTGGATCCACCTTGGACAGCTCTTCAATCGTCAAACAGAGACTCATGAACGAAGCCTCGCTACCGCCAAAGTCGGCCGGGATCTCCACCGACAGCAGTCCGTGCTCAAACAGAGCGCGTGTGATCGAATGGTCCATCTCGCCCGCCAAGTCCATCGCACGGACGTGAGGAGCCACCACGTCGGCCGCAAACTTCGCGACGGTCTCTTTGAACATCGTCTCCTCCTCTGAGAGCTGCGTCAGTGGAGCGAGCGACGACGTCAAGCGGCGGCACGGCAAGTGCGCAAGCTGACGACGTAAACGCGCGCGCGCTGCGCCGCATCGAGTCGCAAACGGCAACATGACCAGAGTGATGGTCACTTGCGCGAGAGGCGGCAAATTCAAGAGTGACTCGCAGTTGCCTTTGCGGTCTAAAAATAGCTTCAACGTCGGGCATGGGGTCGTCCAACGATTTTGATTGGATGCAAAGTGCAACCGAGTCCATTTCCGCGCAAATGGACACACTCGTATCAGTGACACACACCCTCGTGCTAGTGACTCCTCTCAAATCGCATACTTTCCCTTCCTCTCTTCTCAAACGCCATGTACGAGCTCCCGCCGCAATTGGACGTTGAAGTTGGCGTGTCAGACACGGCCCCACTGACCCGCAGCGAGGATGGTGACGTCGACGAAATGGGGTCAGACGCGTCTGCTGCGCTAGCATACGCACGGAAGCTGAATCTGCAGCGTCCAGTCGCCGCGATCTCGGCGCTCGGAGCGCTCTTGCTCCTCTTTGGCGGCAGCTTCCGTCCCATCTTTCTCGTGTTTACTATCTGTGGCTACGGTGCTGTGTTTTCCTTGTATCTGTCGCACTGGGTGTTGTCGAAAGACTCGGGAACTCTTGAGATGAAAGAAGTGGCGACGCCGATCCGGCAAGGAGCGGAAGGGTTCTTGAAGATTCAGTATACGGCGATTGCCCGGATTGCAGTGGCTATTGCTGGCTTGATCTTTCTCAGCTATACACTGCGTCCAAGCAGTGCTTTGAGCTCTGGCGTGGAGACGCTGGGCAATTTCACACTGGGGCTTGTCTCGTCCGTGGCATTTCTCTTTGGAGCTCTGTGCTCGGCTGCTGCGGGCTACGTGAGCATGTGGGTCTCGGCCAGATCGAACATTCGAGTGGCAAGTGCTGCTCGTCGATCGTATGGGGAAGCACTGCTCGTGTGTTTCCGTGGTGGAGCCTTTTCAGCGGTGCTGGACATTACGCTCTGTGTAGGTGGCGTGACTTTGCTGTATGTGATGCTTTACGTGATGTTTGGGTCGCTGCTACGGCCGACAGAGGTGCCGTTGTTGATGGTGGGCTATGGCTTTGGTGCATCATTCGTGGCGCTGTTTATGCAGCTGGGTGGAGGAATTTACACGAAAGCAGCGGATGTAGGAGCAGACTTGGTTGGCAAAATCGAAGCGGGGATCCCGGAAGATGATGCACGCAACCCGGCAGTGATTGCTGATCTGGTGGGAGATATGGTGGGCGATTGCGTCGGCAGCAGTGCAGATGTATTTGAGTCCGTAGCTGCTGAGATCATTGGCGCAATGATCTTAGGAGGCACGCTGGCACGTGAAGCGCAGCTTCCGTACCCTGTCGCTTTCGTCTTCTTCCCGGTCGTTGTGCATGCCTTTGATATTGTCGTTAGCAGTGCCGGTATACTGATGGTACAAGCACCCTCGGACGTCGAAGCTTCGCGTGCCGATCACAATCCGATGGCGACGTTACAGGCGGGTTACAATGTGTCCCTTGCGCTCGCACTAGCTGGTTTTGGCTTTACAACGCGGTGGCTGCTCTACACACCCGAGTGCCCTACGGCATGGATTAATTTCTTCCTCTGCGGTGTTGTCGGCATGCTCACGGCCTACGTGTTTGTCAAGTCAACGCAGTATTATACCGACTATGCTTACCCGCCAGTGCGTAGTATTGCGAAGGCTAGCACCACTGGTCATGGCACCAATATCATTACTGGTGTGGCTGTCGGTATGAAGTCTACTGTTGTGCCGACTCTCATGGTTTGCGTCGCTGTCATTTCCGCCTACCACTTAGGTGCCAGCTCGGGTATTGGTGGTCAGGGGAACCGTCACGCTGGACTGTTCGGAACTGCTGTGGCAACCATGGGTATGCTTTCGTCGGCGGTGTTTGTGCTGGCTATGAACAATTACGGTCCAATTGCCGATAACGCTGGAGGTATTGCCGAGATGAGCCGTCAGCCGGACTACGTGCGCGATGCTACGGATAAGTTGGACGCTGCTGGCAATGTCACGAAAGCGATTACCAAGGGATACTCGATTGGCTCTGCTGCTCTAGCGTGTTTCGTGTTGTTCGGTGCTTTTATGGATGAGTTCTCGGAGTTTGCTGGACGCGAGTTTAAGACAGTGGATATTGCTACAGTCGAGGTTCTGGTTGGCGGTCTGCTCGGTACGATGATGGTGTTCTTCTTCACCGGTCTAGCTGTTGCGGCTGTGGGTGAGACTGCTGGAGAGGTGGTGAATGAAGTGCGACACCAGTTTGAGATCCATCCGGGTATCATGGAGTACAAAGAGAAGCCCGACTACCGCGCATGTGTCGCACTTGTCACCAAAGCTGCTCTAAAGCAGATGCGCTTGCCTGGCCTGCTGGCTGTACTCATGCCCATCGCTGTAGGAGTTGTTTTCCGTGCGGTATGTTGCTTTGTTTGGAAGTGGGACGCAAGAAGTAGAATATCAACGGGTGCTTCTGTTTGACCTTTATGATTGTAGATTGGTGAGTATCAAGGTAAGCCACTGCTCGGGGCTGAGGTTCTCGCTGGTTACCTCATGTTCGGCACGGTGACGGGCATTATGATGGCTCTGTTCCTCGATAACGTGGGTGGTGCGTGGGACAATGCAAAGAAGTACGTCAGGTTATGGTGCCTGTTCATCTTGCGGTATACTATATATTGATGGTACGTGGCTTTTATCAGGTATGTCGAGCTTGGGAACTTCGGAGGCAAGGGCAGTGATGCCCACAAAGCTGCTGTCACTGGCGACACGGTGGGTGATCCGTTCAAGGACACAGCTGGTCCGGCACTGCATGTTGTTATTAAGCTGTTGTCGACGACGGTGCTAGTGTTTGGCCCGCTCTTCGTTTCGCGAGAGTAGGCTGTATGCACTATGATGCGGCGTCAATGTACCGCGAATTGGCGACATGAAGAGGACCGACCACGCGGTTTGCAGCAAAAAGAAGAGATTATCAAAGTAGCGGGCGGTGGGCACAGCTTCCTTTCGTGAATTAGCACAATACATGACATGGATCAGTGCAAGACATGACATGAAAGATGCAGAGGCTCGTCTTTTTATAATGCTAAAACCAAAGCGCTTGGCTTTCTCGCAAGACCAGCAAACAACAGTTGTTTTATGTTTTGTTTTTACTACCAGAAACTTGCAAAAGCTGATTAAAGTGTTTATTTCGAACACGGGCTGCCCTCGAAATGACAGATTGTGGACTCAGTGTAATTCTCCAAGCTGCCTAATTTTAGGTTCAAGCAGCTGAAATAAAGTGGGCCAATTACGTGATTTTGACTTCCAGTTGTGGATAAAACGTACCCAGCTGACACTAGTGGACTACCAAGCCTCTAAATCACAGCCTACTATCAGATCCTTTCGTAGTTTCTATTTGAGCGCCTCCGCTTTTTTAACTGCATCGATCGCTGCTCTGACCACCACAGGTGCTCATCAAGCACGAAGAGAGAGAGCTTCAGACTACAAGCAACTGATAGTCATACCCTGTCGCGTGAGTGGAGGCTACCTAACATTCAGATGCGGCAAATCTAAACACTCTCTCGACCTTGGCGAAGTGTTGACTACGGAGGGAGTCGACGCTTTCATCAGATTTTATTGCAGGCAGCAGCTATCCTGGATTGTGGGTCAATTGAGAAGTTGCAGGGGCTGCTGATGCTTAAGCCATCCTTTACTTTGTCATACGTTTGTTGCACCATAATCCATACCGATGCTGGCCAACTTTCAGAGAAAGAACAAATCCTTCAATCGTGGCCGCGACAGTGGGGCTCCTGCCAGATTCCAATTTTACGAGCTGGGCAGAGCACGTCTGAAAGCTGTCGGTATTAGGCGACTAAGATCAGGTGTTGGGCGTCAATCTGCGCGATAAAACGAGCTGCTTCTCGTCCAGATGCAACGCACATCATATGTTGCTAAAAGAGTCAGGTCCAGAAGACTTGTGCTATCTGCTCCTCGCACAACTTTTGTGATGGCGTTGTTTAGATTGACTAAAAGTAGGTTTTATGACGAGTAGATGCAGTGTTTCAGCACATCTTATGCCCATCACTCCTGACGATCTCAAATCGGCTGTTTCTCCAATCAGCACGAGGTACAGCTGGCAGCGATCAGTCGTTAGCACACGCTCAGCTCATTGAAGTTAACGCGAGCGGGTTTGCAAGTCAGGCAGACAGACATATTGACAAAGGACGGTATCGGAACTCAAAAGCAAAGGCGAGCCCGAATCAAGCTCAATCGTGGCCGCGTATTGTACGACAAGGTGCGATTCCATGATTGCAACATGCACCTTAACTGGTCACCCAGAATCCTGCTCAAGACGGTTGCGGCTGCCTGGATGCCGTTCACAGGTGGAGCTGATCTTGGTAGTTCACTTGTGTATGCCGAATTGCGCCTGATCAATATAAAACCTTAGTCTCATGCCCTATATGCTGCCTCTTTCCACTTGTACTTACTGGTTCATTCTCTTCACGAAATGTCACCGTCTATGTGTGGTATCTCCAACAAAGTTGTCACACTCCTTGCAGTAACCGCTACTGCCTCACCAAATCTTCACTTCGAGTAACATACGTTCACCTGATGGTTTCGTGGACCTAAGTGTATCGGGCGTCCGACTTGCCCTTTATCTGGTCCACCACATAGATGCGCCCGTCCACGAGCACATCCCGTGTCACTTCATACTCAAGCACCGTATGCCAATGTAATCACTGGTCGGGAGCCAGCGTCATCAGGAATCAGGTTGCACATCATCCGCTCTCGCATCGAGATCAACGAAGCTTGCTTCGTTTTGAGGTCTCGTTTGCTATGTATCGGACGTGGCGTGTCGTCAACGTCCATGATGGTTTTCACCCGAGCTTCAGGGTGTGCTGGACACGCACGTTTTAGTTTCTTGTACGGCTTTGGGTAGGTTTTGACTTTCAGAAGTAGCGACCACGACCACGATTTCGCTGAAGCGACAGCTCAAATTGGCTTCAACTGTGGCGCTGTCTGGATGACTCGAATCACTCGTGTACGCCTACAAATGAGCATCGTTGATGTGAGTTCACACCTTCTTTCCACATGAAAACGATACCAAGGATGTCATTATTCACGAGCTCACACCAACAACGATATCCCATGTCATGCAAATAGAACAATGTTGATTGAAAGCGAACGATCATGCTATATCCGACCAAAGCCGAGTTGGAAACAAGGGCATCGGATTCGAACGACCTGACCACACGTCGCTCATGGAAATACTAGCAACGAATGATTCAACAGCTGATGTAGTCTTTGGCGCCATAAACTGCAGCAATGGCCGTGATGTGATATAGTAAGCAATGAGCGGTACGATCACATTGTTCACGCAGCAACGTTGCACAGTTTGACCTTATCACTTCTTCGCAGACCGGATCAACAAGAGCAGAGCTCCTTCGATAGTAAAAATAAGGCTCCAATGCTGACGTTCATCGTCATCAGGGCTTTATCATTGATCATCCCTTATCAGAATCTCGCTACCAAAATGAGAAGAACAAAGCACGAAGCGACTGAAAGTCCACCGACTCGTCGCTCGCTCACGTATAAGTTAAAGTGTACAAAATTATCTTCCGCGTCGCTCACGTCCACTCCACCTAGACCGTCGGTGGATTTTGCACCGACGTAGAGACACTGAATCCCATAGGAGGCAGCGAAAACGTCACTGCCTTTTCCCGCAACCTTTTGCTCACTTTATTACCCATTTTCTTGACCGCCTGCGCACGTCCAAACAGCGCTCGAGGCACTGCAACAGCAGCCGCTGCTGCCGCGGCTGCTGTTGCTCGTTCCTTCCTCGACTGTCCTCCTCCATCTTCGTGCTTGGTCGGGTCGGACACCGCCGTTTGCAGCATCATCTGCAGAGCTTTGTACTGCGTCTCGAAATACACTTCCAGCTCATCAGGTGCCAGCCCCAATGTCCGATGCTGTGGCTCGCCCCAATAGTTGCGCTGCCAGGCGTGGATAGCATTCCCCCAGGCTTTGCGCTCTCCCCAAGTGGGTGCACTCATGATAAGTACGACTGGAGCCCCGTAGACAAACACCCTGCCGTCTCGAATCCGTGAGCGCTGCAGTCGTACGGAAAAACTATAGGGACATCCCCGTCCATCCCCATCAGGGATTCCGCGAACCTTCAGTCTCGAGCGCGAGAGCACGACTTCTCGGACCATGATCCCACGGTCGCGTTTGCTGTAGAACTGCAGCTTCCCTTCGCCCAGGACGCCGTAGTAAATGTGGCTCCGACGCCCCTCGTCATGGACGAGCAAAAAGCCCTCCTTGGACATGTGACCACGAGGACAAATAATCTCAAGTGTGTGAGACAACAAGCGACACGGGCGACGTGCGGTTTGTTAAGAGCGGGCTTTTGTCCAATCAGAAAGCCCAGGATGATCCCATGAAGTCATCTGCTGTGATTTGTCCAATCAGCGTTCATTTGCACATTACGACCATGAGTCGCAGCTGGAGCTCGGGATGGGCGCTCGGGCTGCTGCTATTGAGCGTCTTGGACGGCGCATGCGCGCTGTATTTTACTGTATTGAAGCAGGTACAGATGATTGATGGTTTCTTCGTTAACTTGTCATGTATGTTGACCCTGGCGATGGCTGTACGAAGGAGGATCGCTGTTTTGTCGTGGACGTGCCGGCGCAGACGACGGTTCGAGCCGAGTACGAGTCTCCAGACACGACGGATGTCATGGTGAGTACCCCGGAGTGGAGTATGTGATTGGAGTAAATAGTAGGGGGCTCATCGGTTGTGTGGATGGACAGAAAACGGTGCTCACCGTTTACTCTTTGGATCTGGACGATGATGCGCTCGTGGACGAGGCGACTGGTGTCAAGGTAGGGACTTGTTGTGAAGGATTTGGGATGGAAAGGGAGCTTTGTTAACGTCTGATTTGATTGTGTGTGTGGATCAGGGTTCAAAGTCGTTCACAGCTCAGCACAGTGGCATCTACTGGGTCTGCGTTAGTCTGGATTCGTCAAATTATGCGCTCCCGGATGACGCGTCAATGGTGAGGATTCGACACGTTTTGTTCATGCGGCTATTATGTGTATGGTCTGACAAAGTCCGGATGTGCCTGTAGCGATTCACGTTGAAGCTGGTGATGGGCACGAGTCAAGAGGAATATCGGAATCTCGCCAAGAAGAACCAGATGGATGATCTTCATTTGAAGATCTTGCAGTTGCGCGACCGTGTGACCGCTATTCAGCGCAATCAGGACTATGCCAAGGTCAGTTGCCGATTGTTACGATCACAATAGCGTGGACATGCTAATAAACTTATGCGTCTCTGTTTGCCGTGTTGTCTTGCCGGTGTGATAGGAAAAAAGCTTGGCGATGCAATCATCAATCGAAAGCAACAACCAGCGTGCTATGTGGGTTTCTCTGCTACAGGTGAGCAAAGTCCAGTCAGACATGTCACCACCTTTTTCCTAACTCGGTGTCGATACGTGCAGATTGCGACCTTACTTATCACGGGCTTCTATCAAGCAAAGCATCTCAAAGCATACCTCTACAAGAAAAAGCTTGTGTAGCTTTGCATCGAAGGACCGGCGTCTGGGTGCGATTAAACGACGGGCGCGACCATGGCTCCACTGCGGTAGCAGACGAGGTCTTAAGAATGCGTGTGCGGGATGAAATCAGTTTGCGAATTGTGCTGTGCTGAAATGGTAGTCGGTATTGGTACTTGGCATTGCAAGTCACACTTGGCATGCAATAGAAATCTGTGAATAGCAGCGAGTGTTCGCAAAGGATCGACAGTAACTGACCCCGTTGATGTGTATGCAACGCGATGCCGTCCCGCGGACTATCATTGCAGTATAGCTGGTCAAACGACAGCACGAGAGTCCTTGCAAAAGTCAAACCAACTTTGTCAGCACTCCTGTTGAAATAGGGTAGCCGATGCCTCGCATCGGCAGCACGCGTAATGCATTGGTCCTACACTCAGTCCTCAGCTCGAAGTTCTCACACGGCAGCAGCCCAAAGCAGCTCAATAGGTACAGCTGTCAACAAGTCACGCAACCTTTTTCACTTCCGATTCATGTCTGTACAGTACGCCATAGAAACGTGGCGATACTTTATTCAGGCACCCGCATTCTATCCGTCAAGCGGTCCGTCCACCCCACCACCACTTGTGCACTTCAAAGGGAAGAACTGTCCAGCGACGACTTCCCAGCGTCTCGCTGTCGCTCTTGCTGTAGTGCCAATTTCATGGCATTATGAATCATTCGACAGTCCGTTGTGTACGGGATCGAGTAGTCCACGAACGAGCCTGACCACATTGACACGTATCACGTTACACTGACTGTGTACGGTAAGGTAATAATAGTTTATACTGTGTTTTTGTATCAAATCTACAACGAACCGAGAACACCCAAAACCGCAAAAGGTGCGTACGATTTCCGCTGGATACTGATAGGAATGCCGATCAGGACGCCGCCAATACAGCACTTTTAAATAAGGTAATAACGCAGCCGCGAGTCAGTGTCGTCGTCACAACTCTCTAGAGATATTGAGAGGAAGAGGGAGTACCAGGATCTGGCGATTGATCAAACAGGATGTGAGCATCTGCTGTAGCTGAACGGAATCTTCATTGCCTTTGGGCTGCACGTCATCGTCGTCGTCTGCGCGTTTAAAGAACATGACACGCTTTCAAGCTTTCGAATTCAGCGTTTAGCGGAGAATTTCGTTGTTGGTCAGAAAATTGATTCGATTTTCGCTGAATATTCATTTTAGATAAAGAATATTTGTCGTCAATAAAGAGGAGAGCACGAACTTTTCGCGTAAGGAACGATCACCAACTTTAAATTACGGAAATGATTAGAATTTATGCTTCCGGACAGCTAGATTGGATAAAACGCATTCTTTATATTCTAAACGCTCCTTTTATCATTCTTCAAACGCTTTAATAGGGACAAGTATTCTAAACACTTTTAAATCATCCATCCAAAGCTTCAATCGTACTCATGACAGCAATAATAACGATGCCGTCCCTTTGTAAGGAGCCCATCAGCCCATCGCCGACCATTGAGATACATATCGATACGTACTAACGATCATAGACACGAGGAATAACGAAAATTTGTAAAGCGTCGTGTTCAAAGCTAAGACAATTGTTTGGCTGTGCTTTACAAGGAAAAGGATACGACCAGCGCTTGTTAATGATACAACCGCAAACGTGTGCACCAAACGTAGAACATTCTCTATCGTCCAGCGCATACAGTTTGACCGCGGGTTGCGGTATTCGGCGACATGAGCTCCGAGCCAGAGACTCATGTGTAAGCACACTTTGTAACGGGGCACCCTGAAGCTTGTACTGATGACAATACAAGCTACTTATCCTAACGACAGAATAAGGCGGTGCCGCGTAACTTCATGAACACTGGTACGTGCAGAGGAAGACGGTAAGAAGAAGCGAGTACTTGGTTAAAGTAAAAAGTAGAACTGTATTTAGTATAGTTAATGTCTGCAATAAATCACTATTTATCTTCATCTAACTATGTCTAAATACAAATGTGTAAATCAGTTATCTGCTCACCACTCATTGCGTGCGTCTGTCGTGGCGCGTCTTCGTTGGTTGATATAATGGCCTATATCAACCAATTAGGAACTATTCGTAAGTGCTAAAGGAATATTTGTCCTTATGATAATATTCTGAGAATATAACTCTTATAGTTATATTCTATTAACAATTTCTTATAAATTGTTATGTAACGATTCACCCCGTTACATCACCCCCCCCTTAACCATCAGTCACTTTAGTGACTGATTGACTAAATGGATACTCGTCCCAAATCATTTGGGACAGGGTTTGCACTTGTTGGTCCGCGTCCACTTTCCAACATCTCATCGCATGGTAAACAAGCCCATGCGATGCGCGAACAAGGCCGCCGAGAGCGCGTCTGCACGTCTCTGTGCGGACGCCGAAGCAGAAACAACAGCAACTGATGTCTCATCGGTTGCTGAAGCGACCCAGCCTGTGTCACTTGGTGATGCAGGCGCTGGTCATGAAGACACTCGTGTCTTCACAGAGTACGAGCTCGGTGTCTCGTACTCTCCTGATACGGATGACGGATCCGTATCGACGGCGATTGAATCTAAGCCGCCTGCCAAGCGTGGCATGGACGATGCTTTGCGTCGCAGCATCTTTGGTTCATCTGATGAATCAGATGAACCATCGCCGAAGCGAAGGCGCTCGAGGTCGCAAGACTCGGGCGCTAATAGTGGTGTCGGTTCTCCTATGGACACCACTTCACAGCGAGGTGCCAGTACTTCTGTCGGCACGTCGCAGGAAGAGCGGGACCGCAATGTGTTGCGTCTCGCTCCAGAAAAGAAGGCATGGATGCCTCCTAAATCCGTCATGGATCACTTGTCGGCGACGACGAGTGATCGTTATCGAACACGATTGTTCGATTCGTCAAGGATCCATCACCTTGACCCCAGCGCGAAAAACTATCGCGCTGAACATGAATTCTTCATCGATGCTTTCTTTAGACATCGATGGTACAGTGGGAATCACAAACGTGATGGTCCCTCACTACTTCAGGCGTGGAACGCCTACATCCATAACCTTGAGGATGTAGGTCGTGACGCTTGGAACGACAAACTTATCAAAGCTCGTGATAAGTTTGAAAAGCGAACCCCGACAGGTGCACGCTACAAGCTGCATCGTCTGTCAAGGGAGAAAGGATTACCCTGCCTCTCTTGGGGAGACTCGTGCCCATGTTGTGTGAACAACTCTGCACGAGCACCTAAGGAGGCTTACCTTCTTACCAGCCCGTGGTGGCGCGTACGTGTCTCTACTGAGATGTACGAAGGGATTGACAACTTGAAATCCCTTTACGACCGTGCCGGGAAGACTTTCTCCGGCGGTCCTTCTGCGGCACAGGATGTGCCGCGTCGTACTGCTCAACCAGACCCAGTACGTCGATCATCAGTTGGGAGCGGGGCTCCCAAGAATCCCAGGACGGGGGATAGCCGCGCCACCGGACGAGATAACTCGTCCGACGTCCGTTCACGTCGCGGTGGTTCAACAGCTGCTCAACTAGATAGCGCTGGCCACCGCGAGAGTCCTCTAATGGAGGTGGAGGAGGAGGAAAGACGCTCTCCACACGATCATGTGGATCGGTGTGTTCCCGAGAGCTTCTTTGATCGCGTAACGCAAGGGTTACGCGACGATCTCGAGCATGAGCGGAATAGGCGTCTCCAAATGGCGGACACTGCCTCGAAGCATCGAGCTGAGTTTGCCTTTGCTCAGCTTGAGAACGAGAGATCTCTGACATCTCTTCGTGACGAGCTAAGGGTAGCTCGTGGGATTGCTGATCGGTCTCGGGATGAGATATCTGCTCTTCAGACCCTTGTTGATGCCCACGATCGGGAGCACAAGGCTCTCTTCGAGATGCTTGAGCGCAAGGGCGTTCTTCATCGGAAGAAGCAGCGTACTGATGGTACGGCTTAAGCCGACCAACGTAAAACGTGGGATGCGTTCGCATCTTACGTGGTAATTCGATCGTGTATGCATTGCCTAGGCGGTGCAATACACGAAAAGGGCCGATGTACTTGGGTAGTAGTTTACTGCTACCCAAGTTAGTCACTACATGCTTTGGTAGATTAACCGTAGACAGTAGGACAAAGTCACCTTTATTAAATAAAAGAGTGTTTGCCCTTCCATTCTTATCAGCGTTTTGCTTTTGCTTATCCACCGCTTCGGCGATGGAGTCTTGCACAAAACGGACTACCGTTTCACGAGCCAGTATGAACTCATCTGATGACTCGTTAGCTTCAGTGCGCTGTGAGCGCACTGCAGCAACATCAACCTTTTCTTCAGTGAGGGCTTCCGCACTCTCACTGGGATCATCTTCTTCAGTGAGGGCTTCCGCACTCTCACTGGCATCATCTTCTTCGATATCGATGTTATCGATATCGGCATCAAACGCAATGACTTCTTCGTCAGAGCGTGATGAGCGTGAACCAATTCGGTTTTTGCTCGCGCGAGTCCCTCCCCCCCTTAAACCAGAGTTACACTCTAGTAAGGTGGGTACACGCGGATGGCGCAAGCCATTCACGTAAAACGGTGTATGTGTCGTGGACGCATGCACCGAGTTGTTGATGGCAAACTCTACCATTGGCAAAAACTCACTCCAACTCTTAAAGGAGTGTACGTATCCTCGAAGTATCTCTTCAAGGACACGATTGGCACGTTCCGTCTGACCTTCAGACTCTGGATGATCAGATGTTGACATCTTCAAGCGCGTTCCGAGTGATTTGAACACGGAACGCCAGAAATCAGCAGTGAATCGTGGATCTCTGTCTGATACGAGTTCACGGGGCAACCCATGAAGTCGGAAGATGGTGTCAATAAAGACACAAGCACAGCCACTTGCCGTGATTGTCTCTGGTACAGCCACAAGGTGTACCATTTTGCTGAATCTGTCAACAAATACGAGAATACCCGTATTCCCGCGTGCGTCTTTGGGTAACCCGAAGACGAAATCCATTGAGATGGATTCCCAGCACTCAGCCAGAACCGGTAGAGGCTGTAAAGGTGCACGCAGTGAAGGACTTGACTTCACTCGTTGAAAGACTTCGCATGCGCGAACATACTTGCGCACAAACTGATACTGGCGGGGCCAGTAAAAGTCTCGACTTACCGTGAGATATGTTTTCTCTCGGCCACGATGTCCTCCTATAGGAGCATCGTGATACTCGAACATGATCCGCAAACGCAGATCAGTATCATCTGGAATGACAACGCGTGGTGTGTCACCAGAAACGGCTGTATAGTACAGTAAACCGTTACGAGTAGTGTATCGATCTGATGCAGATCGATACGCAGACGACAATCGTTTCAACGATTCTCGAGATGGTTGGGAGAGATGTGTCAACAACTTCACTATCTCACCATCTTGGGCGTATGCCCGCCTCACATCATCATACAACGTTGTAGATGGGACTGAGGACGTCATAACCGCAACAGTGACTGTCTCACTGTTGGGTTTCGCGACTGTTTCAAAGTCGGGACGACGTGAGAGTGCATCAGCGACGACATTAAGTCGTCCTGGTTTGTACTCGACCGTAAAGTTGTATTCCGCAAAGAATGACAACCACCGCGCCATTCGTTGTGAAAGGTGCGGGCTGTTCACTGCCGTGCGTAATGACGCATGGTCAGTGTAAACAATGTAAGGGTCTATCTCCTAATAGATAGACTCTGAACTTCGCGAGTGCATACTTCATGGCAAGGAGTTCCTTGTCATGCACTGGATAGTTCCGCTCAGCTGGTTGCAGCTGACGCGACTGATAGCAGACGACGCGTTCAACGCCTTCAAGATCGTACTGCATTAATGCACAGCCGATTGCGAAATCGCTGGCATCACAGACCACATGAAATGGCCTGTCCTGATCGGCTATTGCTAGGACTGGGGATTGTATCAAGCTCTGCTTGATACCATCAAAGGAGCGCTGACATTCAGCGTTCCATAACCACCTCTCGTTCTTTTTCAACAAACGAGAGAGGTGCACAGTCATCTCGGCGTAATTGCGTGAATACTTATGCAAATACGCCGCTAGCTAAGGAATTTTCGAAGACCTTTGACATCAACCGGCACAGGCCAGTCGGTGATCGCCTTGATCTTTTCGGGATCAGG